GAGACGTGATAGGAACACAAAGAAACACAATATGGAGGAAGGCCAGAAGTAGCACCACACAGAAGATTCGTGTTTTGAAGATAATGTGTACGTAATTTCGCTGTATAGAGATACCTAATAGCAAGTAAACATTCTTTCACCAAGTCTTTCGTCTTTCACCGATACACCTCCACCTGTCAATATTGATTTTTATAAGTGTAGCTCTGTTTCATTCACCCTATTCTCTGATTGTGTGTAAGTGTATGTATGTATTAGGATTGATGAATTTTTCTTCTGAGCTATTCTCATCTTTGTGGGGTGAATCATTCTACACTTACCTAAATTCCTGTATTCCCACTGATGATATTATTTATCGATAGATGGCGGGGTTAGTCTGTCTCTCTGTCTGTCTGGATTCAACATAGAACTTGGCACCCAAGTGCAGCAGTTCGAGTTGCCACGTTCCAAATACCACACAAAGGTAGACAAGAAAATGAGTGAAGAGAATCAATAGAGTTTTGACAATTATAAGAGTGAAACAGAATGAGTAATGGTAGAAAGGAATATGAAAGATCACAGAGACTGAATACATCTGCGTAAGCCATTGACAACGATTTTGAGCCATGTCACCTATTGTCTCCAGCCATTGATTCTTAGAGTCCCGAGGGTGGGCCCCAACCCGGAAGTGTGCATCTCCCTACCTGACTCAGTTTAGCTGTCAAGGATTTCATGGATTGATGAGGCCATGTTTTTGTTTGGCCACCACTTACTCTTTTCCAACCTGCACCTATATCAGCTAGTAATGCCCGTCGGGGGAGGCGATGATTAGGCATGCGCAGCACGTCACCTAGCCATCTCAATCTATGTAACTTTATAGCCTCGTCGATTGATTTTCCCTCGTTGCTCAACACTCTAGCCGGTGGTACAGTGGTTAGGACTCTCGCCGACCATGCACATGGTCCGCGGTTCGATCCCCTGCCGGCGCACACCCGATATCTATGGTCGGCCTGAATTTGGGCTACCGATATCCATGCTGAAAATTCCACACTTGTACTGAAAATACGGTGTGAAATCAAGCTGTAAATAAAAATAAAAATAAAAATAAACTTCAACATTACTTACCTTATTATACCAGCTAACGTAAGAAGGAGATCGTAGACACCTATGATCAAAAACGGTCAACCTTTTCATGTCTTCAACTCGTATTGGCCATGTTTCAGAGCCATAGAGAAGAACGGAGCGAACTGCTGAGCAGTACACACGTCTCTTGGTTGATAGCCGGATGTCACGCCTACGCCAGAGATGGCGTAAGTTAGCGAAAGCAGCCCGAGCTTTTTGGATCCGTGCTGAGATTTCGTCACCAATCAATCCGTTAGTGCTGATACAACTTCCCAAATAGGTGAAGTGGTCAACATGTTCTATCACTTCACTCCCTATCACTAAGCTAGGAGTTGACGTAGTCCAGCTCGGCAGGGTTAGTCAGATTATTGAAACATAAGAATTAAAGCTCAGCATAGAACAACTGACCTCACGAAAATGAATATTTACCGAAAAAACTCAGTAATCACAATACACGCACCACACACACACCTAGTCACAAAATATGGTGAGACACAGCAATCTACAGTGCTAAAACGTAATACACGTTGGTGAAAGGAAACATAAGTCACTGTCACTACCACAAAAGAAACCAAAGGATAAAAAAATAATGGAATTATATAAACGAAGTTTGAAAGTTTTGTGAATGTATTGGTAAAGCAGTAGAATGCTAGCCGACCACGACGCATGCAGTCTGGGGTTGAATCCGCGACCGACGCAATCCTTCACCTCGCTAAGACAGTAATAAGACTGGTAAAGAGGGAAGGTTTGACACGAGTCTAGCAACCGCTATCACGTGAAAATAAACACTACTGCTAGGGAAACTTTATAGCTCTAGCTTGAAGCTCTGTGTTCCGCTGTGGAAGCTATATGCTCAGAAGAAGTAATTGAAGATGAATTAAGCACTGTATATGATACTTTGATCGAAAATGGCTATCCCGACAAATTTATCGAGAAAAACGTGACAAAGAAAGCGGAAAAGGACTACTCACTATCTGTAAACAAGAAGCCTCTTTATATACGGCTACAATTCATGGACGATATACCAAGCGAGATAATTACGAAGAAATTAAGAAAATCAGTTCAAAGAACTTGTAATGCTGGCGAACTACACGTCTTATTCTCTACACGACCGATGGTGCTACCTCGACTGAAAGATGAAGTACCTAGACTAGCCACTTCAAATTGTATCTATCAATTCAGCTGCGCTGATGGTGGAGCGAGTTATATCGGCCGTTGCACTAGGAACTTGATTTTTCGTGCTCGAGAACATATCCCATTATGGGTAAGTAAAGGTGTAGTGAAAACCATTGACAGTTCGATATTCGACCATCTGGTGCAAACCGGCTACAAAGGCAGCCAGCGTGGAAGAATCCTTCTCTATAATATACCGGGTGCGTAATAAATTGCCAAAATAATCGAAGCACCGCATGCTCCAAACAGCAGAGGCTATTGCAATTCGCCTGAAGCAACCAGCGCTCTGTGTTCAATTCCAGCCCCTACTACTGCCTTGGCCTTCAGTAGAAACTATAAATTCATGAATTTGTTTTACTATCTTTCCTAATTTTTCTGAAATTCAGCTTATTTTATGTTGATGCTATTGAGCTGTAATCTATCAATATTACTGATTCGATGTTATTTAAACAACATTAATGTTGTTCACAACACTAATTCATTCATTCACTATAATGTATATATAACTGTAGAGCCTGACGATGAAGTTATCGAAAAGAGTACTGTTTGTTCAGTATCCATTCTTTTGAAAAAAAATAATATTGGTATAATTACAGGCAGTGATAAATTGTGCTAGAAACGTTATGATCAGGAAAAACAAATCCTATTGATATGTTTTAAAGTTTCGCTGGCGGTAGGATTAATTTTCTAGGTTAGGATCGCTGACTGCCTGCTGTAACTTCGCCTGTAATTTGGCCTAGACACCAGGTTGTAAACTAGGCGAAGGTAAAAAAGTCTTCAGTACAAATTAGTGGGTTACAGGAATAAAGGCTCTAAAAGTGTTACAAAGGATGTTTCTTTTACACATTGAGGACATCTAGATAAAACAAAATAATTGAACAAAGAATATCTATGCTTTTCGATAATTTCCTCTTCTGGCTCTACAATTAGATATACAACTTTATATACATAGAATATTCTAGAATAGTCGTCAATCACAATATTGGTGTTATTTTAAATACTCTCGATTTGTTAAGTATGATCAGTGGAATTACAGTTCATTAAAGATGCATAAATTATAATAATAATAATGTAATAGTAAATAGAATATCAAATAAAATTAAAGCAATTTCTACAACAACAAATTGAGGATCATTAGAACCTTGATGGCCAGCGGGTTAAGGACAGTGTTTGAACCAAACAACCTATTTTGGATACATAAATTAGGTTGCTTAATGTTGATCCCAACAGCCTCAGCAACATGTAGTAGACAAATTCTAAAGTAAAGATTAGTTATTACGAGGTTGATAACCTTGAAATTCTTTCTTCTTCTTTAATTCCTTCACGTTCCTAGTAGAACACAAGTTTTCAAGCTAGAGAAGTGAAGTTTCTGTAGCAGTGGCATTTATTTTTACAGGATGGGGTTGCTAGCCTCATGCCCAACCTTTCCTCTTCACCAGCTTTATTCCTGACTTAGCGAGGTAAAGGAGTGCGTCGGCCGAGGATCGAATCTCGAACCATGTGCATGGTCGGCGAGCTTCCTAGCCGCTGTGCCACAGACGCACTGTTTCCATAAGATGAGACAGAATAGCTCTATGAATGGCTTTTGTTTATGCTTCACTTAACCACGTAGGATGTTGTTTGGAAATCCGACGAAGATACACAAAATTTTCAAATGTTGGCCTGAAGGGATTTGATTGCGCGACCGCTAGCCAATGTCTTCGGCGAGTATTTGTCGTGAATTGGCAGAAGTTAGAATTCATGGGCCATTGGATCGGGTCCCAGTGGCTTAATGGTATAAGAGCTGGCTCGCCTTGTAACCAGAAGGTCTTAGGTTCGAATCCCGGTGGGTGCGTACCGATGAAGAGTCCCAAACTAGGACGAAACAGCTGTCCAGTACTCCCAGGTTTTCCAATGGTTCTCTAACTAACGTCAGCTCATGATGAAAATCCTATACAGAAAATTTATTCGTGGCGCAATTCTTTATCATCTTGTGGGTACAGAACACAAGATTGATGTTAGCGAGGCGACTTTCGAAGTCATAAACCATATACCATCTAATCTTAATTTCACCTTAAGAGTTCGCCTACTACATATTGCTGAGGCCATCGGGATTCACATGAAGAAACCTAACTTATGTATCATAAACACGAAGTTGGTTCAGACATTGTCCTTACGCCGCTGACCATCAAAGTTTTAATGATCCTCAATTTGTTGATGTAGAAATTGCCTTAATTTTATTTGATATTCTATTTGCTATTAAATTTTGATGTTTACCATAACCTAAACGTCTTTTCTGAACTGTAAATCCCATTGTGATCTTACTTAACATATCGATAGCATTTAACAAGCACCAATACTGTTAATGACGACTGTTCTAGAATATCCTATGTATATAAAGTTGTATATGTAATTGTGGAGCCAGAAGAGGGAATTATCGAAAAGGATAGATATTCTTTGCTCATTCTAGATGTTTGAACGACTATTTTCGCTATATTCAGGAAATTATTGCGAATAAGAACACAAACAAAAGGAATTAAGAAGAATCCATTGGAAGTTAAGATTTTTTATATGTTGTCAGCAATGGACGCTTTATCGTCAATAATAAAAAAGAGAATCGTTTATAAGCCGAGGAGAGTTAGAAAATGTTACAGTATGAAGAGAAAAAGATAACGCAGACATTGATGATAACGATTATAAGGAGAAATGGAGGATAAGAAAAAACAAAAGTCAATTCAGTGATTATTATAGACAGATATATCACAACGGTAATGGGCAGTTAGCTGAAGGGGAACCAACACTCGGCTCAAGTGAGGAATAATTTAGATATAAAAAGAGAGAGTGAGTGAGTGAATATCAAACAAAGAGAGTCAACGAAGAGGTGGTACGGTGTATTGATATGATTCTATTGCTGAAGACATCCTTGAATAGTGGCGACTATATTACGTGAACCTGTATGACAAGAAAGAATAGAAAGTTATATTGAAAGCATTCGATAGACGAACAGTTCAACAACAATGGATCAAGATTAAAAGATATAATTCTCTAGAACAAAGACATCCTTGGCCATCATTAACACAATGAACATCTATTATAGAAACAAGGTTAATTAGACAGCAACTAGAGTAAGATTGAGTTGGTAAGTTAGATGACGTCATATACTTGACCAAAATGTTTCAACTTCATCTGTGGGAAAACTGAAAAATCGACTGTCCCGTTCACTTAAGAAAACCTTCTTCCCAGCTGAACTACGATTAACCTTCTCCATGAAACCTATGATTCGTATGAACGTGAGGGATAAGCTACCACTGCTGGCCACATCAATGTGTATCTACCAACTCACCTGCTCATGTGGAGCCAGGTATGTCAGCCGTACCCAGCGTTCGCTATCCAAACGTATCACCGAACACTTACCAGCATGGTTTTACAAAGGAGAAACAAACAAACAAAAACATGGCATCAATCCATGAAATCCCTGACAGTTAAACTGAGTCATGTAGGGAGATGCACACTTCCGGGTTGGGGCCCACCCTCGGGACTCTAAGAATCAATGGTTGGAGACAATAGGTGACATGGCTCAAAATCGTTGTCAATGGCTTACGCAGATGTATTCAGTCTCTGTAATCTTTCATATACCTTTCTACCATTACTCATTCTATTTCACTCTTATACTTGTCAAGACTCTATTGATTCTCTTCACTCATTTTCTTGTCTACCTATGTGTGCTATTTGGAACGTGGCAACTCGAACTGGTGCACTTCAGTGCCAAGTTCTGTGCTGAATCCAGACAGACAGACAAAGGAGAAAAGCGATGCCCCCACAAGTCTATCTTAGAACATCCGATGGATTCCGGACACCGAGCTACACCCCAAACAAACTTCAAAGTCATCTACAGAATACGAAGCAGTCTTCCTAAAAGTGTACGAGTCAGACTTCTCCAAACTGCGGACGCAATGGCGATTCACTTGCTAAGCACTGAACTCTGCCTACAGAAGAAGTTCGTCCAATCACTACACTTGCAATGGACGTAATCTATCTTATTACCCGATAAGTAAATACTACCTAATCTTTTTTTTCTGTCTCTTCATTAGTATTATTTTTTCTTTTCAATTGTAATATTTTACATTTTCAAGCTTCTTGTTCTCTAACCCTACCCGATCTAATTTCTGCCCCTCACTACCACTGTTACTGACTTGACCAACGCTCAATTTCTAGTCATTTATGTTACGTCATCCAATTTATTTGCTCAATTTTAGTCCTAATTTAAATGGCATTGTTCTCTACTCTACCTCTATTTAGTCTCTAACTGCATTTACCTCTGTTGCTGTCCTGACCTAGGTTGAAACATTTTAGTCAATTATATTACGTCATCTAACTTACTAATTCAATCTTGCTTTAGTTGCTGTCTAATTAACCTTGTTTCTATATTAGATCATTCTTATCTTTCCCAATTAATTGTCTAAACCTGACAAAGCTCATGTACACACACACACAAACTATTTATATATAAATGCGATTGTACAGCTATGTGAATGAATTCGCCGGCGAAAAGAGTCTCTTCGCTGAAAGCCTTCTCCTTTTCATACGACTCAATAGGTTTTTTTAAACTACAATGAACATCATCTCATTATTTTGTGTTCCAAGTGGAGCATAGAACTCCAAGCTTTTTAAGCTTTGAAGTTACAGCGACGGTGGTGAAGTGTGTTAATAGTCTCACGACGTCCAACCCCTCCCCTCTCTTTACCAGGTTTACTACTGGCTAAACAAGATTTAGGAATGCGTAGGCTGGGAATCGAATCATTGGACCAGATACGCGATTAGTGGGTATTCTACTGTAACAACAGAAGACAAGGGCCAGGCAACAGATCGTTTATTACGGAAAATCAACACATATTTGTAGATTTCGATGTACATTATTGTAGGTTAATGTTAGTAGAAAAGACAGTCTGTTGATTGGTTGTTTCTCACACAAAGTTAACCTTGCATCTCTTGTGGCTGTGTCAGTTCATCTATATGTTAACTGTATCCGCCTGTCCATCTTGACCTTGTTTTCACATGACTAACATTAACCTCAATTACTGTCAACCAATTTGGCTAGCAACCATCTCTCACCACACTACCAGTGTGAATTATCGATGCACAGAGGCAACAATGGAAATACGAACTTCGATCAATGATTCACACTTGGTATTAGGTACCCAGTGTAGAAGGGCACAATTTTGTGAAATCTTAGTCAGTTTAGAAAAAGGGCAAAGTTTATTTCAACAAAAATAAATTTAAACTTCTTCAGAGAAGTGATGATAATAACGAAACATATCAAAGGTCACAACACCTATTCTCCTAGTCTGACTATTTTCATGGTATGAATTCTTTTTTATCCATTATTCCTAGCTGTAAACCATATGAACTTGAAATGAACGTATCTTTTAAAGAATTCTTTAGTAAATGTGTCAGACCAGAGGTCATGATGACTTGGAATAATAGTTGTTAGGTGGTATTTATACTGTTTGACAATGGATAGGTTTAAAACCGGTAACTTATAAAACATTGACTCATGTACAAAAGGTGCTACAAATGTATTCGTGTTAAAGAGAATGCTGTCTGTCTTTATACTGATAATACTGTCGTTGGTGAGTATTCACGATTAACAATATTATTATTGATATTCCCTTGGGTCCCAAGTGGAACATAAAGCTTCATAGCCGTTTCCCTATTCCATCCTGTTTTCTGAAGTCCTTTTTAGATGAATTCATGATTACCTAAAAGCTGTAATCTCCCCGTCGTACTATATTTTGCATATTAGACTCGCACCTACGAAAAACCCGTCGCTTCTCATTCGGTTCCACTGGAAGAAGACTGGCCTGTAGCCGGATGTCTCTAAACAGAGTCGCCTCTGCCTATATTCGATTGATTTCCATTATATATTCAGCGTATTTGTTGGAAAACAGCTTGGTGGGTTCGTTATCAAAGTCCCCCTATCTCCTATTCTTTCTGACCATCACATCTTTGGTTCTTAACACAAACAGCCATTGAAGAAAGTCTGTAGTCTGTTGGAAACACTTTTCGCGGCAAGCGTCTGTCTCTCAGTATCACCGCTGATCTTCCTGGTTGCAGTGAACTGGATCATACGACAGGTCATGGGGAGAAGGCACGACAAGACAGGCATACGATGGATGACAAAAACGATCCTAGCGGATTTGAACTTCACGGAGGATTTATGCCTAATATCGCACAAACTAGAAGATTTACAAACAGAAGCTAACTTTTGGTGCGAGAGGCAGCCAAGACAGAAATTCAGGTGCCTACAATGAAGATATCTAACCAATAACAACAACACTGTCGACAGGAGAAATCTAAACGAGGTTGTTTCAATATAGAAAATATCCCCATTTAGACATTTGGAAAACACAAAAGATTGAGCGAAGAAATATTTACTTTTCAATTAGATCCTTTTCTCTGGCTCTACAATTAGGCAGTTTCATCGTCGTATTTCTGAACATCATCCAGCGTGGTTAAGCAAGGGACAAACAAAATCTATTCGTAGTTCTATTTTAGCACACCTTGTTGATACTGAGCACAAGGTTGATGTGAATACTGCATTCAAAATTATTTATCGCATTCCGACTAATCTCAACTTTGCTCTAAGAGTTCGTCTTCTACAGATAGCAGAAGCAATTGGAATCCACCAGAAGAAACCAAGCCTATGTGTAGAGAAGAAATTTGTACAGCCACTTCGCTTACCGTGGCCATCGTTACAAGACAGGACTACGTCACCCCCCTCCCCCTATTAAATTATAATTGTCCAAATTATTTTATTTTTATTTTGACCACTTCATCTTAAATTACGTATTATTCTTTTGAAATTAATTTATTCCATCCATTTCTACCTTTTAATTGTGTGTATTAATTTTCTTCCTTAATTATCTACCCATTGACATTTTGACACTGTTTAAATATTGTTAACAAACATATCACCACTTGTTTGGTAAATTGTTGTGTATTGTAAAAATGCTATATATATTAGAGTAGAGCCAGAGAAGAGGATCTAATTGAAAAGTAAATATTTCTTCGCTCTATCTTTTGAGGTTGTTTCATTCAACTGCCTCACCTATGTGAAGCCGTTTCATTTACAGTTGGAACGCATGAGGATACCGAAATCAACCAGAATAAGATCAGAAAAGACAGAGAGAACCTCATTACTTTGAAATCAGTGTGGAGATTTTAAGGTATTCAACACAACAACATTCAACCGTAATGTCAAGCCAGTGCTTCTATATGCTTTATACACTCAGTATGTCACGAAAAACATTTCAAACGGTCTACTGCAAACTTCTATCAACAGCTGTCACCTTCATTCGCCCTTGGAGATCAGACACCTTGTCAGAAACGACAAACAACAACGAACTATCGCCGTGCAACGAACCAGCCAACAATCTTTCGCCAGTAAAATGTGCAGAAAGAAACAGAGATGAATTGGGCATACATTGAATAAACTGTTAAATGACATCAAACGTCAGGCCCTCAAGTGGAACACGAAAGGAAAGAGGCGAGCTGGGTGTCTAGGTGTGACGTCGAGGAGATCGCATAAAGAGAAAATTGGAGATAGTAGGAAACAGAGTGGAAAAGAAGTTTGCTGCTAAAGCCTTATGTTCCATTGAAACGAAAGAAGACAGGGGCCAGGCAACATATCGTTTATTGAGAAAATCAACAGATATTTATAGATTTTGATGTCCATTAGTATAAGCGTTATTGTTAGCAAAGAAGCGATGTCTTCTGATTAGGCGTTTTCTTGCTGAAGTTTATTCTGTACTGCCTGTGACCGTTTCTCAGACAGTTAAGCCATATATCTGTGAATCGTATTTGCATACATTAAGTCTGCTGTGATTGGTTGGTGAGTTCTCCGACTCGGGACATAAACATTGACGTAAATTGTTGTCTACAATTTTGGCGTGTTCGCAGCCAACTGTCACCACACCACACCACTTGGGCTAAAGATGAACTACAATTGCCTTTTACTAATTTAAATTTTTAATTATAGTTTAAAAAATAATAACTATTTCAGGAAGACAATATGATAGGAATAATAGTAACAGTAAATTGGACTGAAACACAACTTACCACCGGAATTTCTATGTTCACAAAGCCATATCCCTTGCCAAGTGCCTAAAGCCAATTCACCATTCGTAATAGGCACTGTGGTACTCGGTCCACCAAGTAGGGCTTGTTTAGCATGCGCCGGCTATTGATAAATACATAAGAATACATAAATATATGTGTATGTATAATGTGTGAATAAGAAAAATAGTTTCACCAAATGTGGAACGTGGAACTCTGGCCATTATAAGGTGAGTGATTGTTGTTGAATGCGAAGGTCCAGTTTCAGGTCTTAAATAGCTACACTACTAATGATTCAGCTATGTATAAATGGCGTGTTCGAAGTTCCCTCGTGAGATAATGGAGTATTATGGGTAGCATTATAAGGCAATTATTATGCGGGGATGCTGGATGTCTAGAGTTGACAGGATGTTCAAGGACACAGTTACTACTGGTGTTCTTCTTTTCGGCTTCATATGTGATTAGATTCGTTCTTATTCTGCAGCCCATGTGTTCGGAATCGGTGTTTTCCAGCCTCTCAAAGTAGACCTGCAGGTTCACCAGACATTTCCATTCACTCTTTCACTTATGTGCTGAATATCCCCTCCATGTGAAGTCAATGAACCCATTGATCACATGACAGAATTTCGAGAGTAAGACCGAAATCTACCCACTCTCGGGTGTACCAGGTCATTTGCTTAACGGTATCAACCTACAAAAGATTGTTATAATTGCTAAGTAGGTTAATTATTGGATTATTTGTATAACTGATTAATCTAAGATCGCTTTTTTTTACGAAGTACTCGTTTTGTTTACTTGAATATGGTTCCAAGAACAAGTGTTTCACGTCCGAGGCTATGATGCACACAATTATTATGTGAGTGAGGGCTGATAAAAATACTAATAATACAATACAATACGATAATAATATCAACCTCGTTCTGGAAGATATTTTAAAATGAAATCCAGAATTTGCGGTGTACGTTTTTTTTTGAAAAGGATTTACTCTCCATATACGATCTTTATGTGCGGTGGCACAATGGTAGAATGCTCGCCGACCACGCATATTGTCCGGGTTTGGATCGCCGGCCGATGCAATTCTTTACCTCGCTAACCTAGTAATAAAACTGGTAAAGAGGGAAGGTTGGGCATGAGGCTAGAAATCCTACCCCGTAAAAATAAACATCTTGAAGCCCTTTGTGCCACTGGGAACGTAAAGGAATATTTTTTTCCCTTCACGTTCCTAGTAGGACATAAGACTTCAAGCTAGAGGCGTGAAGTTTCTGTAGCAGTGTTTATTTTTACAGGATGGGGTTGCTAGCCTCATGCCCAACCTTTCCTCTGACTTAGCGAGGTAAAGGAGTGCGCAAGCCGAGGATCGAACCTCGGACCATGTGCATGGTCGATAAGCGTCCTAACCGCTATGCCACCGACGCTCAAAAACGTGAAGGAATACATTATTATTTTTGTTATTATTACATAGAATCTTCAAGTGATAAATATTCATCGATAGCACATATCGCATGACACAACATCCTTCCATCTGACACAACATTGAACATACGACGTCTTATCCGCATTTTCTCAATGAAGTGCCGCATAGCGATAGGTTAGAGGGCATGTAACGATCCAAGCGTATAATTTGGAGATTAGGACGAGGAAAGATGGATAGAAGTAGTCTCATTTTGCTGAGTGAAAATTTAGGTTTACACAGGCCTCTACTACCCAGGTATTCAGACTCAAAGGTAGATGGAGAGGTATTCAAACCCAAGACCTACTGGTAATAAGTCTAGCGTTTGCATTAATAAGTAACATACCAACAGTCAAATAGTGAAGCAATAGCATTAAATCTATTCTTATACACATCTCATTTTACCAATCATTTGTATGGTTTAAAAATTTAGTCTTTAAGAATTTTCATTCCTTCTCTCCTGTCGTTTTACATGACCGTATGAATAACGTTTTGGTAAGTTTTGATAAATCATCTTTCTTGTTTAGAGAGACACCGGTTTAATTTATAAACGGAACATTAGGCATAGAGGAAAACTACACCTAATCATCCTAATAGCACGCTTCGAATGAGATCGTACGCCATGAGGCGGAGACAGGATTAAACACAAGGCTGACTACTATCACTGATGATATTCCTGACCATGGTGGACTGGATCATTCAGCAGGTCGTGAAACAGGACATAAATAAATTGAACCGATAAGAAGACTCTAGAAGATTACGACTTCGTGGAAGATCTATGTCCAGTGTCACTGAAAATCGAAGATCTATAGAAAGGATTAGCAGCAAAGAACTCTGGGAATGACCCAACCACCCAAGAGATAGAAAAAGATAGGGGTGGGGTTGACCGGACATGCTTGGGACCCTTGATTGACATCGTCGGCCATACTAGGCTTCGGTTAAAACCTGAATGAGAAACGACGAGTTGGGCGTCTAAGGGTGATAAGGAGGAAATGAGAGTCTATGGGAAATCGTGGAGATAGCTAAAGACGATTGCAAAGAGGCGGAGGGAGTGTAGGTGTGCTGTTGAAACCCTATGCCCCACTGGGAGCCTACGGGAACAATAACAAAAGTATATTATATATATATATATATATATATATATATATATGTACAAGTGTATAATATTGTAGCAATGGAATGTAGAACACTTTCCGCAAACTCACCATATCATCAGGACCTTCACAAGAGTGTTGATATTGTAATGACTACAAAATATGAGAACAAAGAACACACATTAGTGCCAAAAAGAATATATATATATATATATTCGAATGCAAATGAGCAGCTTCATTAAATGCATGAGAACCATTGAAGTTATTTCAAGCTGAGTTAAGCATACCCCGCGGGTAGAATACACGCCACCCATCCACATGGTTCCACAGGGTTCCATACCCGGATGACGGTCTCCGAAACCTCACTTAGCCGGTAGTAAGTCCGTTAGAAACAGGGGAAGTTGGGCTGGAGGCCCAGCAACCCCACTCCTTGAAAATAAATCCACTGCAACTGAAAATTCAGAGCTTATGCTAGAAGCCTTATGTCCCAATCGAAACGTAAAGAAAAAATAATAGTAAGTAATGATAATAATACACGTACCTCAGGTACAAGGCGATTGAGTAGCATTTCCATATCTTTCCTACAAGAGAGGTAACACAAAGAGGGATTACTTCATTAAATTCACTGCAACACACTGGAAATTAGATAGATGGTAATTCTATCTTAATAAGTGAAAAAATGAGTTGCCTTCATCGGATAAAATTGAATTTAATAATGGTTTTCACTACAAATTGGTCGCAATTTCAACATGCCACTTCGCGCAGAAGAGCACCCATCTCAAGATACATGAGTACTGCCTCACGCAATCAGTGATTAATGCTTCGAGGACTACAACTAGGCAGTCTACAACTGCCTATATGGTTCAAACTAACTGTCAAAGACTTCATGCTTTAATGATAAGTTTTCATTTGACCACCCTTAATTCTTTTCGAATCTAATTCTGTGTCAAATGATATTGCTCGACAGGAAAGCCATCCCAAGTGAGGTGGTTTACAACTCGGTCGATTGAGTTCCTCTTCTTACCTAACACTTTATGTCCAAATTAGCTCTTAGGATAGACGACTGGAACGTTGCATTCAACACCTCCCTGAATGGGATATAGACACAGGTCCTCCGTCCCTAACGCAGGTTAAAATAATTACCACTTTTCTGAAACGAGGCAAAGCAGGGCGAACTGATTGAATGACTCTAGAGGTGTTTAAGGACGGCGGAGACAGTTTACTGTCTGCGTTAACTAAGGTATTATGCAGCGTCTGAGAATCAGAGGAAGTCATGTCGAGTTGGCTTAAGTCATTGATTATTCCGATATACAAGAAGGCAGACAAGTCTTCCTGCGATAATCAATCACAGGGGGATTACCTTGACTAATATGGTATTGAAAGTTCTAGGCTCGATAATCATGCGTACACTACTAAATGGGCAATCGGGAGGAACAAACGCGAGGGAACGAGGCAGGCAGGAAGAGGGTGTAGTGATCATATCTTCATCCTTCAACAGATTCTGGAACGGAAGATAGGCATACTTAAAGGTGTCCAACAATCGTCATATTTCTTGACCTGAAAGTGGTATTCGATTTCGTCTACCAAGAGGTACTATGGCGATGTTTGGCTGTAAAAAGAATGCCCAGAAAATACATTGCACTGATCAAGGCACTCTACTCGTACTAATGAAACTAGGTGAGAGCCTACGGAGAGTTATCATCTGAGGTGGTGACTACTAGTGGTGTCTGTCAGGGATACCCACTATCCCCATTGCCATTTAATTTCATCATAGATGTACTAATGGACTTAACCCCAACTGATTTCAGCGACTCAGGGATTGACTTGTTACCATCAGGCAATTATCTCGTTGACTTAGAATACTCAGATGGTATAGTCCTCCTTCCTAGGTGAAGACACTGACGAAATGCAGAGTCTTCTGAACACCTTGAGGAGCAGCAATCTTCGAATGTCTGACGTGCGATTCACCCACTCCTGTTAAATGTAAGATGATCAGGCTACAGGACTGGACTACATTGACTACTAGTTTAAAGATAGACAAGAGTGAAGTGGCTGGTGGAGCGTGATGACCACTTCACTAGTTTTGGGAGTCGCATCAACCAGTGCCATCAGGTTGATCACTGACGAAATCGCGGCGTGGATACAGAAGGCTCGTTTGGCACATACCAACTTACGCCATCTCCGGTTTAGTTGACGTGACATCCCACTGTCGACCAAAAGGCGGGTGTACAGCTCAGCAGTTCACTCTGTCCTCCTTTGTGGCTGTGAGACATAACCATTGGCCGTGGAAGACATGAAAGATCTGTCTATCTGTCTTTGGTCATAGGTGTCCGCGTTCTATCTCCCGTGTGAAGTGGAATAATAGGGTGAGCAATATTGAGGTTAGGCATCGGTCGAGTGCTAGGTAAGGAGGGGAAATCAACCGACGAAGCTGCGAAGCTACAACGACTGAGATGGTTAGGACATATGTTACGCATGCATGCCCAGTCATCGCCTTCCCCGACAACGGGCAATGTTAGCTAACATAGGGTCAGGTTAGAAAAGAGCTGGCGGCGGTCAAACCAAAACATGGCACCAGTCAATGAAATCCACAACAGTTAGTTTAAGCCAGCCACGTAGGGATATTTGGACTTCCTGGTTGGAGTACTCGAGATGGTAAAAAGCAATAAAGGCTTGAGAAAATTAGCGATATGGCTAAAACTCGTTATCAATGGCTGGGGTAGATGTATTCACTCTTTGTGATTTCTCATATCCTATAAAACCCTATTTTTCTTCCATATTACTATTCGCTTCACCTTATATTTTTATTTACTTTCTCTCTCTTTCTATTGAATTTATCTTCACTCTGTTCTCTTGCTTTGTGTGCTACATGGGGTGTAGCACCTCGCTCTGCTGCACATCTGTGCAAAGTTCTAAGTTGAAACCAGTCAGTCAGTAACCTTAATATTACACACCATATTATACTGCCTAAAACGGGAGATAGCACGCAAAAACCTGCGGTCAAAGACAACTAACCTTTTCGCAGTCATCATTTTTCTGCAACATTTACAGTTTGGTATGAAAGACTGCTGGAAACAAGCAAAACTAGTGTTGAAAGAAGTTTTAAAAAGACCTATAAGTACACTGGCAAAGGCAAACTGTACTGGCATCAGACCATATACGAAATCTACAACGAGGGATAGTGTGACACAAAGTCATTGTTCAAAATTCATGTGGTAAAGTGAGGTTCAGTTTTGAAAAGTAGGATGGGACACCTTACATATTCCTTACTAACTAGGCAATAACATTACAAATAGCGTTAGTACGGATGAAAATGTCAAAGCCAACAAAATAGGATCGGATCAGATCGGATCGTAGAAGTAAGAGAGGTGTTCATTACTCTAGAATCAGTGTGGCACTTAGCACAAGGAAAAACATCCAAATTTGTATTACCAATATAAAGCCAGTTCTTCAGAGATTTAGCCTGAGAGTCTTTAAAAGCCTGCTGAAGACTTTCATCAACAACCGTTTGGGTTCTATATGGCTAAAAATGATAAGCACGATACTCTGGCAGGCAATGAACTAACCAGAAGCACATTATCCAACATATATTCAGAACGAAACAGAAATGAACTGAACATAAGCTGGGAAAACTGTTGAGTGACATCAGGTTCCAGGTCCTAGAGTGGAACGGCAATGCACTAAGGGGTGACATTTAGGAAGGGGATCATGTGACGAGGGAATAGGAGCTTGGTAGGCAATAGCAAAGCCAGTTAAAAAAGACAGTAGGGGGAAGAGTGTAATGGAGGTGTGGTGATGAAATTATATATTTCTAACTTGGAAATCAAGGGACAAATGATTGGATTTAACGAGTCCCTTAATATTCAGTGCAAATGATATGAATTTAGAGTTGAAAATGGGTCAAAAATGATTCGACACAAACACACCAAGAAACGTCCAGAATTATATTGACCTACAAATCAGTACTGTCTTCGCTCTATACTGAAGATCAGATGACCGGAAAGAATCACCGACAAGAAACTATGGGAACAAACAAAACAAGAACCAATCGCTCAACAAATATGCAGGAGAAAGTGGAGATGGATTGGACACTCGCTGAGGAGGCCGTTGGGTGACATCACACGTCAGGCCAGTGCTCGAGTGAAACCCGAAAGGGAAGCGGCGAGTGGGACGTCCAAGGGTGACATGGAGGAGATCGTGTGAAGAGGAGTTGAAACAGTCTGGACTAACATGGATGCAGGTGAAAAGTACAGCAGAAGACAGAAGCAAGTGGAGGCGTGCAGTTGAAGCCCTATGTTCCACTAGGAACCCAAGGGAACAATAATAATAATACAAAATCAGTTTTTAAAGCTAATGACTAGCTGTTTTTACCAGTGAACAGCCACAATCCTACCAGAGATAGAACCCATGACCCTCAGTTTACCAGGTCAAGCTCATTGACGATTCATTCAGCAACTCAGGCTGGAAAACAATGACCACCGAACTCTAACTTCGTCATTTCATGATAAAGTGCTACCAGCAACCAATGCATTCGATGACCACATCCACTTCATCATCACGTGATGGACCCCCCTCTGGTCACGACTTTTCACTACATCTTCAGAACATCCATCTAGTAAACATTGTTGAGCTGGCCATAATCTGACGGTGACTGCCAGATGAATGTCCTGAAGAATTCACGGGTCATTGAATCCAAGCCTGAGTGACTGAATGAAGGGTCCTGGGTTCAATTCGTGGTGTGGCCGTGGGTGTACACTGATGAGGAGTCTTAAACTGGGACGACAACGATTGTCCGGTGATGTCTGTTGGTTTTCAATGACCTCTCCAACTGATATTGACTTGTGAAGAGGTCTAACAACTGAAATAACTAGGAGAAAACAATTCAAGCTCTTTCAAACTATTAAAATTCTATACCGGGGGTATGGTAAAGTACGGTGGCTTAGAATCCCAAAGTTATTTAATAACCCTATTAAAAAACAAATCATACAATTTAATTTCATATAAGGTTGTGAATGTGAAGGAGCTTGGAGGAGTCCAAATGAAGTGAACTGAAATTTCAACAGAAAGAACTTTGTAGCGGTTTAAGTTGACACACTCCACCAAAAGTACACATAAAAGCAGAAAAATATAGAAATGCAAAGAAAACCTTAATAATAAACGAAAATGTGAATGGAGATATATCCCCCCAAAGACTGAAGATTACTCACTTGACAGAGGGATCCCAACTCTGTGCATCAATTGAAAAACAAAACAAAAAAAATAAGAATTGCAAAAACGTGTATATAATAATTTTTAATAAAAAGCAAAATAAAATAAAATTAAACCACTAGTGCCTAAAATACAACAAAGCATTCCTCTACTGTTTATAAAGATTGGTTATATTTCGTCATCATCAACTGTTAAGTATTATTATAGTTACCCTTTTGGATTCAGAGTAGAATGTAGGCCATCAACAGTGCTAACTGATTGGTTTCAACATAGAACTTTACATAGAAAAGCAGCAATTCAAGCTGCTACATTCCATGTAGCACAGAAAGGTAGATAAAAGAGAGAGAGAGAAAAGACACGGATCTGAAGGTACCATAATGTAATATTTCAGGAAGAGGTAATAGTAGCATGAAAAGTACTAAGGTTCAAACGATATGAGAGATCACACAGAGTGAGTGCAACTGCGCCAGGCATTGAGAAAGATTTTTAGCCATATCACCAATTGTCCCCAGCCTTTATTGGTTTTTACTAGCCCGATGACCTCAACCAGGAAGTCGACATGTCCCTACGCGGTCGGCTTAAACTAACTGTGGAGCCAGTTACATAGGCCGTACAATTAGGCGTGTTTATCGTCGAATTTCTGAACATCATCCTGTGTGGTTAGGTAAAGGACAAACAAAATACATTCATAGCGCTATTCTAGATTGATGTCAACGAGGCGGCTTTCAAAGTCATTTACTGCATAATAACAAATCTCAATTTCGGCTTAAGAGTTTGATTACGAAATATTGCTGAGGCCGTCAGGATCCATATTAAGAAACCTAACTTATGTATCAAAAACATGAAGTTGGTTCAGACACTGTCCTTATCCCGCTGACCATCAAGGTTCTAATGATCTTCAATTTGTTGTGGAAATTCCCTTAATTTTATTCGATATTATATTCGGTATTATATTTGTATGCTTATTATAATTTATTCATCTTTAGTTAATTGTAATTCGATTGATATTACCTGAGCTACAAATCTTCTCTATTATCTCAAAACACCAATATTGTTATTGACTACTATTCTGGAATATTCTATGTATATAAACATATCTATATATAATAATTGTAGAGCCAGAGGAGGGAATTACCGAAAAGGATATTCTTTGCTCAATTATTTTGTTTTTTATGGATTTTATTTACTAATTTAGCCATATTTTGGTTCGACTACCAATAGTTCTTTCCCAACCTGAACTTATGTCAGCTAACATTGCTCGGCGAGAAAGGCAATGGCGCTGATTGCGAAACACATATCCTAGCCATCTCAGTCGATACCGCTTCACAACCTCACCGATCGATTTCCCTTCCTTATCGAGCAATCGACGCCTAACCTCAATATTACTCACCGTATTATACCACTTAATGCAGGAGACAAAACGCAGACACCTATGATCAAAGACAGACAGGCATATCTTTCAAGTTTTCTACTTCCAATGGCCATATGTCACAGTCATGAAAGAGGACGGGAAGAAATTCTGAGCACTATACACGCCCTTTGGTTGATGGCTGGCTAACCGGATATCACGTCTACACCAGAGACGAAGTAAGTTACTACGTGCCACACGAGCTTTTTGCATCAATGCTGATATTTCGTCAGTAATCGGTCAGCTTCCCAAATAAGTGAAGCGGTCACTTCAACCGTACACGCTCCATTTCATCCTGTTGTTTGCAGTCGCCTTCAGATGGCTCCATGATTGCCCATAGGCTCTCATCTCCTTCTCACACGATCTCTTCCATGTCGTACTCAGAAGCGCATCTAGCCGTTTTTTATTCAGGTTCCACTCGGAGTCAGCCTGGCGTGCTGTCACACAACAGTCCCCTCAAGGATGTGTTCAACCCCGTCTCTGTTTTCACCGACATATTTGTTGAGCGATAGAATCTCAGGTGAGTTAGTTGTCTGCCAGAGTTTCTTGCTGTTGACCCATTCGGCCACCTGATTTTAAGTATGGAGTGGAGGCAGCCATGATTAAAAACAACTGTTAAGTGGATTCGTCGTTGAGAATTATTTTTTGTTTATGACTTTATACGGAGGTTTTCCGTTCATTACAGACTACCAAGGATACTCTAACAGTATGGGAATTGGAGAAATTCCTGTATTTCTCCAGCAAACTTCCTAAGTTAACACTGAGCTGAATTTTCGAACACGATGTACCAATCAATATGAGTATCTAAAACTCTATTTGGAAGAATCTCCATATAAGAAACCATTTACCTGAATTCGAAGACATCAAAACATTACACTTTGAGTCATACTGACGCAATCCGCTGGTATCTGGATAAACCGGGACGCAACATATCACAAGTCTTTGGTGAAAAATGAGAGAATTTCTAGGAGTATGTATCCAATCTTATACTAAATCTGTTCCATCGTTGCCATAGAAGCTAGAAACCTATGTCTTTAACCACTCACATTTTCCTCTAACGCCTATCGAAATTCAAGTCCTATCACTTAGTCTGAATTTTTCCAATCTGTCCAGAAAAATCAATCAACTGAAGAGTAAAGTCCAATTTGAGAAATTAATCTCCCAGACAGCTCTAAAAGAGGATCTTGAACGGTTAACAGATGACAGCTACAAATAAATGTGGATAAGACCCAGTCATCATGTACTGAAGAAGCAATACAGGAAACGACTCAGACAACTTCAAGTGGATGAAGGGGATCCGAGTTCATTCAGACAAAGGCAATGAAGCTGTACTAATGAACAGATCCGAATACGCCAACCATCAGGAAAGAGCATTTCTTGGAAATTATCCAACCAGAAAGAATAAAAAATCTTCTTACAAAATGGTTGGAGAAAATGATAGGTGATTCAAGTTATAACCTGAGAGGTGTAGGAGTGCAGCTCCACCATTCCAAGGTTATATGGACTGTGTGAAATACATATACCTCGACGTATTTCTTTTTTATTATAGCTTGACTCCAGATCGTATTTCTGATACAAGTATGGAATTTTCAGCATGTGATATCGGCAGCCCAATTTTGCAGGTCGACCACTGATATCGGGTGTGCTTCGGCAGGAGATCGAACCCTGGACCAAGTGGATGGCCGGCGAGAGTCCTAACCGCTGTGCCACCAACACACAGACCAATACTTTACATAGACGCTACTTATCTCTTCCCAATCACCCCTAAAATGAGACAATATACTTTGCTTTTGATTATATGCAATTCAACAACCAGAAGATTCCACCTCCGATCAACTACCTGGAGGAAGTACTCCGCAAATGTACCTTTAACATTCCATGTGAACTCAAAAAAGAATTATACACACTGAAAGATGGTGTGGCCATAGGGTCTTTCTCTTGGTTCACTATTAGATGATTGTTTCATAATATCTCCGTTCCTTTGGCCAGTCAACTGCAGCTTTCCACAGAAATGCTGATGTTACTTTTATAATTTGTTAAACAAAATTCTGCCTCAATCATCTCCTCAACACTTTCGTCGTTGTAGCACACCCTTCAATGAAATTCACCCTGGAACGAGAGTTGAACCTACCTTCTTCGATTCCTGAAAGGGTTACTTACAAGACGACCAAACAACTTGATTTCAAGATCGATATAAACACTGTTGAGTGATACCATGTACCAGACTGTCCGTCGAGTGGTGCCCGAATGAGAAATAGTGGAGTTCGGAGTAGGCGAGTGGATGACATGGAGGAGATCGTTTGCGGAGGAATCAAAAGATTATGGGCAATCATAAAGCCAGCTAAAGGGGACTACGCAAAACGGAACAAAATGGAAATGTGCTCCTGAAGCCATAAGTTCCACTAGGAACCCAAAGGGAATTATAAATATATATGATTTTCTATAGTTGGTTTGTAAGGATTAGTTTTGTTTTTACGAGTTGACCACGGATTGTTATCACTTAGAGAACCATTGAAAACCAACTGGGAGTACTGGACAGCTGTTTCCTCCATCCTAATTTGGGAATCATCAGCAGTACGCACCCACTGGGATTCGAATCCAGGACCTTCCGGTTACAAGGCTAGCTCGTATACCACTAGCGTGACCACCAACCATTGAATCGGGTCCCAGTGACTGAATGGTATACGAGCTCGCCTTGTTACCTGAAGGTCCTAGGTTCGAACCCTGGTGGCGGGTGCGTACTGCCGATGATTTCCAAACAAGGACGGAGGAAACAGCTGTTCAGTACTCCCAGTTGGTTTTCAATGGTTCTCTAACTGACGTCAATCCGTGATCAACTGGTAAAATATATATGAGTAGTTTCAGTGAATAAATACATAAATGATATAAAAAATATATTATACACATTTATTCAGTTATATTCACACTGTAATACAGACTCACCTCATTCACCGTTAAAGTCGCTGATGTATGTTGAACTATCAGTCAAGAAAAAAAGAAAATACTAGTAATAATGGTGTATGTGATATTAAGAGGAAGGCAAACAGCAATGTTCGAAAATCAAATGAATAAAAACACTCTAAGAAATCACCAATTTCTAAAAGAAAAGGAAAGAACAGTTTGCTTTGATTGATAGTGACTGACAGTGGAATACAAGGCATGTGCATTTCGTCCTGTTTGCGATTCATCATCTGGATTTAACCGCATTTCCAATGATTGAAAATGGTGTTCTCATAAAGACTTGAACCAGGTGGAAACACCACCATTCATTGGGGGATGTAGGTATACATCCAGCTGACATATCCCAGACAGGATGAAATGTGCACGTTTTAAATTCGACTGTTAGTCACCACCAACCGAAATAGCTTCATGTTAAAACTTAGTTATCATCTAAACTTCCGTACTACGATGCAACATGTCAGCAACAGAGATCAAGCATTTCGGCCCAACACAATCAATCAATTAATCAATCAACAAGAAGTCTGAAATTGATTGGAGAATTTTATCATGAGTTGACATCAGTTAGAGAACCAATGGAAAACTTGGACAGCTGTTTCGTCCTAATTTGGGACTCCATCAAGCTCTTCAGGTAGTTAACCCGGGGTTCTAGTGGAAAGCCGTGACCAGCAGAGTGCAGCAGGTTGGAGGTGAGGCAGAAACTCATCGAAGAAGACATTGTGAAGTGGTCGCGCTATGTCATGAATTGGCAAAGGTTGGAATTCATGCACTGGCTATTGATTAGGTCCAGTGGCCTGACGTTCTACGAGCTCGCTGGCCTTGTAACCGGAAGGTGCTGGGTTCGAACGCCGGCGGTGCGTACTGATGAAGGGTCCCAAATTAGGACGAAACAGTTGCCTAGTACTCCTAGCTGGTTTTCCAATGGTTCTCTAACTGATGTCAGTTCATGATGAAACTCCCAAATCAATCAAATAAAATCCCTACAAAACCAACGCTTCAAAGTATGAAATTATGCAAAAAACAACACTTTCTTCAGAAATTTATCGAGTAGACAACATTTAGCAATTAGGTGATGTAAGACGGTTGGAGTCAATAGTCGGCAGGGAGCCTTCGACTAAGGTTTCGTGCTTGTTGGCACTCACCAGTCAGCAAGGCATATCTGCAATCTTGAAGGAACTCATGGCCCTATAGAGATTTGAACCCAGGTCGCCTAGTGCTGCAGTTCGAGACGTTACGACTGAGCTATTCGGGCTGGCGATTGACATTATATAGGATTGTATCGGATATTTTGACTAGACACTTGACTGATAGAATTCAGTGTGCATCAAACAAAGAACTAGACACGTTACACTAGTTACTAACTAGTGTCCAATCAAAGCAATTAGATAGTGTGATATAAACATCAGCAGTTATATAGCATAACGCAAATACATAGTAATCTTTGATTAGAAGCCTGCTATAGGAGGTCAACAGCTAACCCGAATGGCTCAGTGGTAAGGTGTCTGACTGCTGCACTGAATGACTTGGGTTCGAATCTCAGAAGGGATATAAGACTACAGATAGGCCTCGCTGATTGATGAGTCCCAACAGGCACAAAACCTAGGTTCAAGCCTCTTTGACTATTACCACCAACCATTTAACAACAAAAATTAAATATTGCTTTCTTAAGCAAAGAACCAATAACAGGGTGAGAGAGAGAGAGGCAGAGAAATTATCTGATGAGCTCACTTACTGAAAAGATGTAAAATTCCCATTTGTACTTGTCTAATTTCTGGTAAAGCTTTTTTAATTTCATCTGTAATATAATGACATCCACGTGATTGTCTTTTCAAAGTAATAGTACGTTGAAGCCAGTAGTTACCAGCAGTGAAAGACATCTGTTTTAGCAAATAGTGAAAAAAAAACAGAGAGCAGCTTGAATTACATGTATAGATTGTTTCACAGTTATTTATTTATTTGTTTCATTATAGCTTGATTCCACACAGTAACTATGGGTGTTTTCAGCATATGATGTCGGTAGCCCAAATTTAGCAGGCCGACCAATTGATATCAGGTGTGCGTCGGGCGGGAATCGAACCATCGACCATGTGCATAGTCGGCGAGCGTGCTAACAGCTGTACCACCGACGCACAAAATAGTAATGATGATTATGTATCACGGAATCGGTGGTTCACTGGTAGCATGCTCGTCAATCACCCACGCGATCCGGGCGGGTTTAGATCCTCAGCTGCTGTAATCCTAAACCTCGCTTAGCCGATAAAAAAGGTTGGGGGGCGGGAAAAATGAGGCTGGCAACCTCATCTCGTGAAAATTGAAAACTACGGCTATCGAAACTTCAAAGCCACTGTAAAACTGAACAGTTACAGTATACGATCGATCAACTACTTGAATAGAAATGAATTCCCTAGACACTTAACTATTGATTAAACATCAGAACACCCGGTACATGTATAGGACTAATGGTATTAGCCAGCCGCATAGGAAGATGCAGACTGCCTGGTTAGAGTCCGCAAGACCTGGGACTGTTACTGATATAATTCAAAATCACTGTCAATAGCAAAAATGTATCCATCACTCTTTATAATCTTCCATATATATTCAATTCTATTGTTTCTCAATGTAATTACTCTTGCTCGTGTACATTATTGGTCTCCTGAAATTCTTTCCCGCCACCCCCCGTACTTTTGTGCGCTGTGTGGTAACTTGAAGTCCTGCACTTTTGTCCAGAGTTCAACGTTGAAACCCAATCAGTCAGTCAGTCAAATGTAAACATGATTATTTGCTTAGTCTACACTTAGAAGTTAGACAACTTTTTTGAGGTATGCATTTTAGCATCTTGTTTTAAACTACACATGGATATAGTAACTGTCTTCAAAAAGAATGAATACGGACAAAATCTCATCAAAAAGTATTTAGACTCAAGTCGTAACACTGACAAGAAACCATCATCAAAGACCACAAGAAAATTTAGTCTACTACATATATAAAGGATATCTCTGAAATACCGGCAAGAACACTGAGACCGCTTGAAATAGACATAGCACAACAAGCCAGACAACGCAATCACTTCACTCGATATTGTGCAGATGAAAAGATCCAACAGAAAAAGAAAATAACATCAACACTATTCGCAAAATAAACCGTATGAACTACAATAAAGATTAGATCTGTCAAAGTGGGCGTTCCTTTTCGAATCCTACTCGAAGAACATAAATTAGCTGTGAAAAGACACGATATGTATTTTTTCATATCAATGCATGTAGATAATTATGGACAACAAGTTGATGATTGGGAGAATGTAGAAATTTAAGATCAAAGAGGAAACACGGAAAATAGTGCCAGGGAACTCATAGACACCTGGTTGGTACTCAAGTGAATCAACCAGCGATTAACAAACACACATTATTATCATAGTCCAAATTTAACAACTAATATAAAATAAATCCCATAACAAGAAATTTCAAATTCCAAGTCAATAGAAATGATCAGCAGAGATGTAAATTAACAATCAATGACGGGATTGGTTGTCATTCATGGAGAATATGTTGTCAAGAAGGTGGACGACGAAATCTCCGCGATTAAATCAACCCCCTCAGAGAACACAACTATATCAATCAAAACATTGGATGAAGTAATTGAAATTCAATGAAACGAATCCACCTACCTTGAACTGATCATCACAAACATTATTAACTAAATTTTATCCCTATTACCATAAATTTTGAGTTAGTGTTAAGTATGTAACAAAAATATTAATCCATAAAGAAAAACAGTGTTACTTAAGATGTAGAAAACTACATAGTACTGGAGTTGTGGTTCTCATTTGTGCAGGGCACTTTACATTCTACCAGCGAGTTACGAGTTTACACCTCACTAGACCAACCAAGGTTTGAGTAGTCACGCAGCCTTCCCAAAATAGATGTGACTCATTGCGATCTGCATGGAATTACAATAAGCTATTGAGTACCATTCCATTCCACATAACTCACCTTAGAACTATAATGAGATTGAGAACGACTTTGAGTCGTTGATTCTCAGCCTTTCGAGGACCCCAAGCAGGCAGTCTGCTATTCCCTATGTGGCTGGGCCAAATCCACTATCAAAGACTTAACATGGTTTGATGGTAGGTTTTCATTTGACAAATTCGAACTCTTTTTCCAACCTAATCCTTTGTCAACTAAAATTGTTAGATAAGAAAGATGGTGGCTTGGCATGCGTCAATATAACTTTACAACCTCATCAATTAACTCGATCCCCCCCCCACCCCACTACCTGACCGTCTTCGCCTCACTTCGACACTGTTCACCGTATTATGCAGCTTAACAAGAAAGACTTAATAGTGTAGCACATATGTACCGATGAATAGCACTTCACTTAATATTTCAGTATTAATATACTCTTTTGCGCTCTCAGTGGAACATACGGCTTCAAGCTTGAGTTTAGAAGTTTCAGTAGAGATGCTGTTCTTTTGTGAGATAGGATGTTAGCCGCACGACCAATCTTCCCTCTTTACCATTGTTAGTACCGACTAAGCGAGCTTTAGAAGTGCTTCGGCTGGGGAATCGAACCACTGACCACATTCGTGATTGACGAGCATCCTGCCATTTGAACGACCGCCGCAAAACACCAGGAAGTTCTAGTTTGAGACTCTTCAATATTACGTACCCAATGGAGTTCGAAACCCGGGCTTTCTGATTCACAAGGCGTGAAGTCAGCCACTGGGACCCAAAGTGGACAGTGAGCAGGCAATCACTTCTGCCGCTCACACAAACACACACACGAGGACACACGACGTGGAGATTGAACCCACGACAAGGACATGAAAAGTCTAATACTTTACCGACTGAGCTAGTCGTGCACCTTCAGAGTTTTAGTGAGCACAAAGCATAGCTGAATAACTCAAAGTAAAAACTACTAACCTCAGTATTGCTCACCTTATTATACCCGTGTGAAGTGGTATGATAAGGTGAGCAATATTGAGGTTGGGTTTTGGTCGAGTGCTAGGTAAGGAGGGGAAATCAGTCGACGAGGCTGTGAAGCTACATCGACTGAGATGGTTAGGACATGTGCTATGCATGCATAGCCATCTATCGCCTTCCTCAACAGCGGGCAATGTTAGCTGATATAGGGTCAGGCTGGAAAAGAGCTAGAGGCGGTTAAACGAAAACATGGCACCAGTCAATGAAATCCACAACACTTAGTCTAAGCCACGTAGGAAGGTGTAGACTTCCTGTATTGTTGGGGTCCTCGGGACGGTAAAAACCAATGGTTGGAAACAATTGGCGACATGGCTCAAAATCGTTCTCAATGGCTGGTGCAGATGCATCCACTCATTGTGACTTATGATTTCCAATTAAACTGTTTTGTTCTTCGTTATTACTATTCCTTTGTCTCACACCTCTGTTTACTGTCTATATTATGCATTTCTTCTACTTTCTTCTCTTGCTTTGTGTGCTATATGGAGTGTGGCGACTTGAACTGCCGCACATATGTGCAAAGTTCTATGTCGAAAACAGATAGACAGACTAAAACAAATAGAACCACATGCATCCTTAAAAAAACATTAAGCCAGTTCAGAAAGAACACTCTAGTATCAGCAGGGAATCAAATCTCTTTGTAATCTGTACAACCTTTAGCAATTTTATTACAACGTATTCAATAAAAAAATATATCTACAAATGAAAATATATTATATAGAAAAGAGAGAATACAAAAATAATGTAGGAGGGAATCTGTACATATATAAAAAGAAAGAAATTTCTTTTAGAAAAATGCAGGCTTAGAAGAATTTTGTAACGCCTAGACGATCTTTCAAAGTTTTAGGCGTACGAAACTTTTCAGTTATCCAAGCGACAGTGCACTGATGATGATCACCGGCATTACTATCAATGTTGTTGTCATTATTGTTGTTACTAGCAAAAGACGAAGACCTGGAAAATATCGACGACGATGACGGCGATGATGAAAAAATCTTGGAATGTGATCTTGGTCTTTCAGACATCATAGAATTAGATAATAGTGAAGTTTTCAATAGCATACAATGATTGATTAGATTGGACAGTGAAGAGGAACGGCGTCTAGAGAGACCGGGGAATGCTGATTTGAATTTATACGACGGAGATGTCGATGGAGACGAAAAGGGCGATAAAGGCGGTGATGATGGAGATGTTTTACAGTCTGTATGATTGTACAGTACTTCACTATCACTCTTATAACCAACACTGACTTCTGAGTTGATAGCATCGTCAGGCAACAAGTGCTTTTGATTCCTGTTTATATATATTACAAACAGTAAAATAGTTAGAAAGATATGTACAAATGGAGTAGATGACTATACGGTTAAAGAAAACATCAAATACAGTTACATAGGCAATAATGTGGAGCCATGGTTCGAGTCCCGCTCCATCTACCTCACAGTCTGGGTAATATCATCAGCAATTGCACAACAAGTATGCCTGACAATCTGGTGAATGAGCATAAGAATATAAACTCGGTGCTATCTATAAATGGTATAATTTCATGATAAACTGATTTATTAGATTTATTACGGCCATACAGTATAGCAATGTTTAATAATGATAAGGCACTCTACTCGAAATCATGCAGTGAGCCAGGTAAGAGCTTACGGCGAGTTGTCATCTGAAGTGGTGACAACTAGTGGTGTCCATTAGGGATGCCCACTATCCCCATTGCTATTCAATTTCATCGTAGAAACTGACTTCAGTGATTCAGGGATCGACTTGTTACCATCAGGCAATAATCTCTTTGACTTAGAATACTCAGATGGTATAGTCCTCCTTCCTAGGTGAAGACACTGACAAGATGCAGTCTTCTGAACACCTTGAGGAGCAGCAATCTTCGAATGTGTGACGTGCGA